GTGGTTAAGCCTTTTTTTATTATATATATATATATATATATATATATATATATATATATATATATATTTATATATATATATATATATATATATATATATATATATATACTGGTGCTCCTTCTATCAGCTCGATATTCTTGAAAATCAAAGGATCTGCAATGAAATCGATTCCTGATTTTGCAATTCGACTTCAGTTACTTTCTCAAAACCTCAGACTTTTCTACACATATTTACATGGCTTCTGCTCTAATGACCCTTTTCCATTTGTGCCCTGACTATATGAACTTAAGCGTGCTAATAAATTGGTATCTATGTCCCACCCATTTCATGTTGAGACAGCAAATGCCACTTCTACTCCAACAGTTTCTTTATTCACACTTACAACCATGGAATTCTCTTCTGTTTGCTTAATTTCCTGATATCTATGATCTTCAAAAATCAAATGCAACCTCAATCACCATCTTCCGGTTAATATTTTTTAATTTTCTCAAAACTCCATGTACTCAGTCTTTTCTTTCACTCCCTATAACCCCTGCCTTCTGGTGTCATTTTGCCTTTCTTTGGGAGAAATGATATAATAATATATGTCTAAAAAATTAATGATATCCCTTGATAAGTGGCGATAGTGATTGTTATTTCTACGAAAATCTGGAGTCAGGATGCCGAATGCAACAATATATATTATATATATATATATATATATATATATATATATATATATATATATATATATATGTATGTATATTCAAATTTATAACATATGCATGTTCTAAAATCCTATATATATGTGTGTGCATTATCATAAATTTTTCTATTTGAAATAGTATAAGTCTCAAACCTTTATCTTCCATCGATATTCTTAAAATTTCGAGAGAAAAAACGATTCAACTTCAAACCAAGCAACAATGACTATTCGAATTCCGGTTTTCATGGTTGCAGCTTATTTCCTATTATTTAATACGTACCCGTCTTGTGTCGCTTATCCATTGCTTCCACTGAAACATAGGATGATAGCCAGGACTGAAATCTTTACTGCCTGAGGGATAGGTATATTTTAATAGTGTCTGAAGTGAATAAACTCAATTCCAGATCAAAAATTAAGAGCAGTAAGTTGCTTCTTTTTTGTAAAATTGATATCTTTGAATCGAAAAAGTAAGAGGACTCCAAACATTAAAAAAAAAACACCTCCTCAACAATGAGCAGAAGTCGAGCAACATTTTTCAACCATTAAAAATAAATAATGCAGAAACTAAAAATATACGTTTTTGGAAAATCTAAAGAACAACAATTACAAAATACTAATTCTTAGCATTGTTCGCCATTGAGAATATGAAAGTTATCAAGACCATAGCACTCAACACATTTGCAAGACGATATTGTTCCGTGATATATTTAAAAGTCGTATCAATTAAGCTTATTAAAAATATTTTTCCTTTCATATGTCAAATGTTTCGTAAGCGCATAAAAAAATTCATAGAACTTGAAACGTTAACGCATTTTTGCAATAAAAACTGTTGAAATCAAAACCAGATATATGAATATACGTTTTTTTAATTTTTTTTAATTTACATATAATATGTATATAAATTTAATTTTTTGACACATTTAAAATTTATTATTTTTTCACGTTGCATTTAAAAATTATTATAGAGAGTAGATTTACTTCTTGCCGCTAACTAACCTTTTAGTTTTGCTGTGACAATAAGCAGAGGAAAACAAAAAAAGACGAGCAAACTTCTCTCAGAAATGTCTAGCTTACTAGATCAACGTTATATTATAGAGTCAAATATCAGCTTTTTTTTATTTAAAAAACTAGAAATGAGGAAAATCACAATATAATGTTTTAATTGATTATACAGTTTAACTATAACGTCTCTTTACAATTTAAAATATTATCAAAATATCAAATGAACAGATTAATATGTGAAAATTGTGATAAAAAGAGGAGTAGATATTGATGTTTTCTTAAATAATTTCACAAAAATCCATATGGGCACCATTAGTTTTCCGAAGCATATCAACCCAATACTCGGTTTCTTGCTGTGTTCGCTGTAGCACAGCCACATCAATGGTGGCAATCGCATTAATTATCATTGCTTTTAATCATCCATGTCCGTAACTTTGTTCGATACACAATATCTTTAACATAAACCTAGAGAAAATAGTCCATCAGGAAAATGATATCTGATGAACGAGGAGGCTAGGGAATTGGGGTATCCTTTCTAATCCACCGATATATAAAATGTCGTTTCAAATTAAAGTACACCTTATCAAGGATAGAGCGTATGTAAATATAAATATATAAGTGGGCATTGAGGTGAGCGATTGTTTCATGCTTGAACGCAATTTTCATGGCATGAAGATTGCGTTCAGGTATGAAACAAATTGACGTAACCTAGGCTCTTTCGGATCACAGGGCGCTTACAAATGTCAAGACAATGTCAACAAAATCTCGTCAAGCTCCCTGACAACACCCAATTCGAGATGATCCCTTGTATGG